ATAGATAATGATAGTGAAATAATATCTATATCTTTCTAGCTGTAGATAATAACAGTGAAATAATATCTATATATTTCTAGCTATAGATAATGATAGTGAAATAATATCTATATCTTTCTAGCTGTAGATAATAACAGTGAAATAATATCTATATATTTCTAGCTATAGATAATAACAGTGAAAAAATATCTATATATTTCTAGCTGTAGATAATAACAGTGAAATAATATCTATATATTTCTAGCTGTAGATAATAACAGTGAAATAATATCTATATATTTCTAGCTATAGATAATAACAGTGAAATAGTATCTATATATTTCTAGCTGTAGATAATAACAGTGAAATAGTATCTATATATTTCTAGCTGTAGATAATAACAGTGAAATAATATCTATATATTTCTAGCTGTAGATAATAACAGTGAAATAATATCTATATATTTCTAGCTATAGATAATAACAGTGAAATAATATCTATATATTTCTAGCTATAGATAATAACAGTGAAATAATATCTATATATTTCTAGCCGTAGATAATAACAGTGAAATAATATCTATATATTTCTAGCTATAGATAATAACAGTGAAATAGTATCTATATATTTCTAGCTATAGATAATGATAGTGAAATAATATCTATATATTTCTAGCTATAGATAATAACAGTGAAATAATATCTATATATTTCTAGCTGTAGATAATGACAGTGAAATAATATCTATATATTTCTAGCTATAGATAATGACAGTGAAATAATATCTATATATTTCTAGCTGTAGATAATAACAGTGAAATAATATCTATATATTTCTAGCTATAGATAATAACAGTGAAATAATATCTATATATTTCTAGCTATAGATAATGACAGTGAAATAATATCTATATATTTCTAGCTATAGATAATAACAGTGAAATAATATCTATATATTTCTAGCTATAGATAATGACAGTGAAATAATATCTATATATTTCTAGCTGATAATAATAAGAGTGGAATAATATCTACATATTTCTAGCTGTAGATAATGACAAAGAAAGAGATCTCATATACTTCTAGCTGTAGATAATGGTAATGGAGTGATATCTATATATTTTTTAGCTGTAGATAATGGCGTTTACTATATAGATAATGAGGGAAATGGTCTACAATTGTTAACTGAAGATGTACCATTGGCTTTACTAGTAACAAAGGAGAGAGAAGCATCGCCTTTTCCAGTACCTTTACAACCAATTAGTGGCAAGGATATTACTGGAATAGCTTATAACTTCTATAATAATATTTGGGATACAAATTATATCCTCTGGTATCCATATCTTCCTAATGATCAGGATTTTAAAGCTAGGTTTAAGATTAATTTTTATAATAGGAAACCATCATTCCAGATTGTGTAATATTTGTATATTCCAAATGGTATTAATTTGTTGTTTTTTTTTTGAAGATAAATGTATATAAATTATTTGATATTCTTTTTATTGATACATTTTGTCTAAAAGAAGGCTGCTTACGGTCAAACCTATTGTATAAACAGGTGCATCTACATTAGTTTATGTCCATTGTTCTTAAAACAATTCTTACAATAACTGGTCCTGCAAGTTTTATATACAATATACATGTCTATAATAAAAAACAAAAGAAATGATATTTCAGTTTGAAAATTGTATTCAATAGGATTAATGATAAAGTCAGTTCTTATAAACTATAGAATAAGTAATGTATTGTTTCAGCTAGTAAAATCAATATTTCTTCAAGGTCAAATAGAACTCCAGGGGAAGGGGAATTTTTAGGGTTCCAAGTAAACAGAAAAAAGCTGCTGAATACTTGTGAAGAACAGAATCACTACAAAGCCAGATGCATGAAACCTGAGCATTCAACTCTTTATGTCTTTCTCCTTGATATTTATACTTGACAATAAAAAACAAGACTGGTTGATCAACAAAAATTTATTTTCATATATATTTCTTGAGAATTTTGTGGCCTAATGAATAAAGTCTTAACTTTTCCTTAATTTACCCCGACCAAAAATAAAACGACATATTCTATCTACAATAAAAGCTGCCAAGATATCTCCTGCTACAGTCATTAAAACATTATTCCTCAGCTGAAAAATAGAAGAAAATTATATATTCTTTCGTATGTTGTGTATCTTTTGTATAGAAATTTATGATTTTCACCATAATTATGTTTTAAAAGTATATATAATTACAATTATTTAATCTCTATTAACGCCCGAACACTAAAATATAAACAATTTTGAGCTGCAGGCAGGCAATTAGTTTTAAAAAATTTTTAATGGGAATTTAATGAATTTTCTAGCCTTTGTGTGCTTATCAAGAACACTAAAAACTTCTATTATGGCATAATTGTCTTGGATAACAAAACCACATACATCAGACTGGGAAACTTAAACTATGCTTATAGTTTTATTAACAAGTATACTAAGGCTAAAAAACCTCTTTTCCTTCAACAATGACCCACTGATGAGAAATATAAAAATGTAGGCTAAATAAGTATATATGCACCACAAAATATTGACATGATAATCAAAATATTATGAATGTATCCTTCTATCCAGAATAATACTTGAGTTATATGATAACAGGAAGTGAAATGAGGTTTACATTTTTATCTTTTGTATAGAAATATAATCAATACATACTTCAGTTGGTAACTCGACAAGTTCAAATTGTTCTCCTAACTCTGGTATAGCCCCACTAGCCAGACAGACTATAGCCCCACTAGAAACCATTAAACTATATAATAATGGTTTATTATTCCATAAACTTTCCATAAATGGTTCACCCTGAAATACATTAAAGTTTAAATACACGTGTAACATGGTTTGAAGAATAAATCTTTATTAGGAGTCCCATGCAGCTTGTATATATATATATATATATATACAATCAATGCCTTAATCACTTTTTAAAACGTGAGAAAGTGTCTTTGTTTAACTTTTATAATACATAAAAAAGGTTTACTATTTTATATTCAAATTTGTTTTACACTTGAAATATATTGGTTGTTATTAGAATCGTCATGATATGGCTAGAACATTTCAGAAACAAGTTGGACTTTAAAATATTGAAAGAAGAATACAAACCCTATAATTGACAGCGAATGTAGAGACTTGTAATGACATTGATATAATATAAACTGTAGTATTTAATATACTGGGTTTAAATTTAGCCTCTAAATCTATATGTTCTCCTTCTCTATAAGATATAAAATGATTATAATTAATACTAACAAATTATAATTTATATAAAAAAACAACATTATATACAACTTAGGTAATACCTCTTGGCAACAACCTTTCCTGCAGGCTATCAGTTCCATGTAATAATAGATGAGTCTTTCAAATAGAAGTATGCACCATTTATTTTGTTTTTTATATATATATATTTTGAAATACGTAGAGAATTAATAATATTCTAAAAGTAAATTTATAACTTAATTTCATTGTGAAAACAAAAATGGAACAATGATTACTCTCCCTATGTCATTTTTATTCAAATCTTTTTTTTTAATTTGGCACATACTCCTCCTTTAACTTGCCCAATTAAAGGCAATACACTTACTTGCGATTTTCATAAGCTAGAGCTTGTTGTACCAGATATATTAAACTAGTAAAATGTATAGAGAATTGTAGCAATACTGTCAAGATTGTATAAATATTAAATATATTAGGTAGAGGACGTTCTTTTGATAAATGCTTTAAAGGCTGAAAAATAACATTTTCATCATTAGCACACTCTTGACAAATAAAGGTTTGACGTTAGTGGATTGGTTAGGATTGTTTTCTATCATATCATTTGTTTGGTTAATTGAGTTCTAATTTGGGTCAGTGTGTGAAAGTTTGATGACTTATAATTCATATTTACAATGGTAATGCACCAAAAAGGTTTCCTCCTTAGCCAGAGCATTGTGAAATGACCCTTAAAGAACACTGCAAACCTACCTTTGACCTTGATATAAATAAGAAACAACCAGCCAGTAATAAACCCTGCATTGTAGCTTGTCCATCACTAAATTTAATACCATCTAAATATAATACACTTTGACTATAAGCTAATATGAGGGCATTCAATGCTAATATTTTAAACATCTGTAATGTGGTGACTAATGTACATCGGCCCTGTTTGATTATATTACATACTGAAAATATAAAAATAAAACATTTCAAATCAATTGATTTTATTACATAATGAAAATATAAAAATAAAACATTTATAATAAATATTATGAGAAATTATTTTTTAAACATCAACAATAATAATTAATATCAAAAAATTAAATAATAACAAATAATGAAAACAACACATTATTTACTATAAAAACATTTCTGCATAATTGGGAATAGACAAATAAGAAAACATTTGTTTTACACTGTCATTAAGTTTGTATTTTATCATGATACTGATAATAATTAAATCAAGGAGTAACCAACTGCCTTAATAGGAAGCCATGTACGTCATACATACCACTGCTGATAATTAACTCAGAAATTATGGAATACTTTGACATCATAAGAGCACAACTTACCACTAACTACTGTAGATAATTTAGAAGTAAATGGTGAAGCTACACTAGCATCCCCTAATCTTACAACTTTATTTTTCTTCTTCTTCTATCTCTTTTAACATTGCAGCTATTTTTTTCTGGAAAACATACCACTATACGTATCAGAACTGACGATGTACCAGGTAGTTTTACTATTGGCAAATGTTATCTTATTTTGTTAAAAACAATGTTATACTTGTGATTAATTTCCCTATGAAATTTGTTACTATTTTAGACTTTCACTTTGAACTAATATTAAAAACACTATTATTCAGTCATTGAGTGCTGTGAAGATACAACTTTCAAAGTTCACTAGCTATTACCACTTTATTATCATAGATAATTAGCTACTACCACTGTATTGACTACTTGAGTTTTTTATCAATATAAATCTCACCTGTGCTGGAGCTAAATTATCTCCTCTTGCTACAGCTCTTTGTTTGGCTGCTTTACTCATAGATTTATTACTGGAACCACCAGATCTTTGATTTAATTGTGATAATTTGTCTGTTTTAACATCATTATCTACACTACTACCCTATAGTAATAACATTAATAATCAAATAGGAAGTTAAGCCATATATAAATTCAGTAATAAGGCACCTGATACCACTTTTCATTATGAAATACTTTCTCATTTATGATCGATATACTTCCTCACATGAAAAGTTTATTAGCTGCAACCAATGTATTGGTAACATGCTGTGTTGGATTTCGGATTACTTTTTTTATAATAAATATCATAACAACATTGAAACTATTTCAAGATATGATATGATGAGAAATGAATCATTGTTAACTGTTTCATGACTAATGAATACGTATTCTATCAACACTTGCAAAAAAATGCTTTGCTGTCATGAAAATTTGTGACCAAACATAATAGTTTTTTTACAGAATTTTCAAAAATTACACCAAAAAGATAATATAAAAAAAAAAAAAATACCTCTGGTTTTTCTTTCTTTTTCTTCCCAAATTTTTCTGGAGCATTGGCTAATAATGCTACACCTAGAGAAATTCAATTTAAGTATGGTTTACATCAAAGATTTCATAAATATCACAAAAAATGTCAATCAGTTTGAAATAAATATTTCAATTCAAATTAATTCCAATTCTTCTAGAAGTATGCCAAAGCATTATCAGAGAAAAATTTTCATTACACTATCTACTAATGTTTGTAAGGGAGACATCACTCCCTCCCTCCCTTTCTCCGCGATCTGACTGTGATACACATATAATATTATACTTAATACATATTAAACAAATGTCAAACTTACCGACATGAGCATGCTTTAAAGCACCTACATCATTAGTACCATCACCACACATTAATGTTGTATAACCATAAGATTTTAATGATGTTATAATTATTTCCTGAAACAAAACAATTAATAATATCAATAACCAGAAGATTGTAATGGTTTTATTATTATTTCCTAAAACAAAACAATAAATACAAAACAATAAATAATATCAATAACCAGAAGATTTTAATGGTTTTATTATTATTTCCTAAAACAAAACAATAAATACAAAACAATAAATGATATCAATAACCAGAAGATTTTAATGGTTTTATTATTATTTCCTGAAACAAAACAATAAATAATATCAATAACCAGAAGATTTTAATGGTTTTATTATTATTTCCTGAAACAAAACAATATGGTGTTGTTATTATTTCCTGTAAAAAAAACCCAATAATATTAATGTTGAAACAAAACAATGAATAATGTTATAATGTTGTATAACAATAAGATTTTAATGGCTTTATTATTTCCTGAAATAAAACAATCAGTAATATTAATGTTGTATTATTATATTACTAATACAATAGCTTCTAATTAAAGAAAGTACATTAAAGAATATTACCTTTTGTTTGGGTGCAACTCTAGCAAATATTTTAGTATTTGGTAAAATAATCTTTAATATTTTAGGATATTCTGTTTGAAGATATGTTAGAGCCTGAAAGGAAAGGAAATATAGAATAAAAAATTATAAATTTTGTCTTTCATAACAGATATTGACCCAACTAAACTAAAACAAGTTGAAATATCTTAATAACTTACCATAATTTTACCTTACATTTTATATGTAATTTATACACATGTAATATATTACTACATAACAGATAAAAATAGCAAAATATTTCATATATATCTTTAATTTTCAATAACTACATGCTACCTGTACATAAGTTTAATTAAATCAAAATTTGAATTTAATTTTAAACAGTATAAACGGTACATTTGAATAATCTAAATAATAAGAACTACCTCTCCAGTTAAACAGAGATCATATTTATCTATTAAAGATTTTCTCAGGTCACCAGGTATAACAGGTAGTATTATTTTATCATCAATAGATTGCCAATGCCAGTCTTTATCTGGAACAAAATAAATTCTAAAACTATTATTTGCTAAAAAAAAGAAATGTAATAATGTATAAATCATACAGGTATTTAGTGCCAGGTTTCATTAGTTGAATTGCATGTAATATTAATTTTTTTTTTCTTTTGTGACAACCATGTATTATAGGCATGTACATCCATTAAAATTCAGAAACCGTAAGTGCTATACAGAATGTATATCTCACAGTCTCACAAATTTAAAGGAATTAAAGTTATTTTGGTACTTCAGGACCCAAAAGTAAAAGAGAACTTTTTGATTGTGTAAAAATCTATTTAGTTAAAAAGTTTGTTAAGGACATATTTCCACACAACAGTATTTCATTCAAATTCATCTTAAGCAGTGAAAATATCTTTCTACAAAGGAAGATAAAACAAAATTGAGTGCTTATGTCTGCATTCCATGAATCAATAAAAAGAAATAGTTAGGGTATAAGAATAGAGGTAGTGATATTGTTGCAAGGTAAAGAAATATATCATCAATCAATAACTGCTATGAGATCAATAGAATAATAATAATGTTTTTAATAAGTTACCTAGTGCATTGGGTGATGTTAAAATTAATATCTTAACCTTTCCGGACATCTTTAATTCTTTAGAAACATGACAGGCTGTTAATGGATTGTCCCCTGTAATCATGGCAACCTTTATAAATAATCAAAATAGTTTATTTTAATACATATAATTGATGATATCTAAAATATATCTTAAAGAATTTTAAACAATACTGTCTTCTAGCCAGACAGAAACAATTTTTACATTATGGGCTTCAAAAAATATTCCTGTGGCTATTGTTTTTTTAAATAGAAACCATGAAAAATGATAATTAAACTAATGATGAATGTAGGCCAACAAAAAATCTTGACAAGACTGGTTTTAAAAAAATACTATGTTCAGCTAATGATTAATGTTTATTTTAATCATTGATTATGCTGATCATATACCGGGTATTCATGACACCATTTCAGCACATTTGAAATCATCCAGCTGCTATAGTTATTTGAATGAACCCCAGCATCTATAGAAGCAAGCGTTGATAGTTATATGTGTCGACACAAAGCAGACCATGCTTACTCTTTGAGAAACAAATGATGGTACTTTTCTACGGAGGAGTACACTACTATACAACTTTTAGTCTCAATTCTACCATATTTCAGGCAAGATTTTGAATTGTCTTGCTTGTACAGATTTTTATTTTTATGTGTGCATAAACAAAATAAGCTAAAAAAGGCCTAAAAAACTGTTAACTTTTTTTATGCGAGACAAAACTATGGATACTTACATGATGTGAAGCGTTGATAATTTCTTTAACAGATGATTTGGAATCTGATTTTAATGGACAGGATATTATAACAAAACCAGCAAAGTTTAAATCACATTCAATCTCTTCTCTGGGTATCTCTCGAACCTGAAAAATAGCAGGTCAAATATAGGAAAGGCGGCATAGAATTCTTAGCTATATTCAATGCCAGCACCAGTACATGATGAAGTTCTATTTAAAACAGTCTTGATCCACTAAGTCACTTACCAAGGAATAAGAAATATATATGTGAGGGGAAGGTAGTCCATGCCCTGTTTTGAGTCAAACCTTCTTCCTTTATTTCATATTTATAATATGTAGAGATTTAGTACCTACCTGAGAATGTGAAAGTGGTCCTAGATGTTTATAACCTAAAGCTAGGACTCTAGCTCCTCTTCTAGCCATAGATAAATATACCTCATCATAATTAGCTGGTGGATTGATAAACTACAATATTCAACACAATTTACATATTACCACTTACAGTAACTGTCCAGAAGAAATATAATGAGCATAGTCCATATGAGTTGGATTTGATTATACTCTTCAATATCCAAGGTTTTAATAGTAGTTTGTTTCAAAAAAATTTTGGGCAATTTCAACATTACTTAACATTACAATAATTTTGTATTTGTAAAAATAGTAGTAAAATATTAGTTCTTGTAATTTTTTTTTACCAACAATAAATCAAACAATTAACAGTTTTTTCAACATCTCATTCAAAATAGTACAATTGACCTTAACAAATGCATATCTTACCATCAATTTCAAAGTTTCTGGTGCTCCTTTAACAGTCCCCATATACTCAGTATTTTGAGATCCAAGCGGTGTATACCCACATATAACAGACATTCTCTTTAAAGCACTAGCAAAATGGAATCGATGGAATATCTTTAAACCTTGTGGTCCTTTTTTCTGTGGTAATACAGAATCAGCTGGAATAGATGAAACATTTTTCACAGTGGGATGAATTGGCAGCAACTTCTTAGATTGTCTTTCTTTAAGTTATTAGGTAAAATGGTGGTAGAAACTGCTGCATTGAAGCATGCAAATGCATCTGATAATCTAATATTTTTGGTTGTACTCTTTCAAGAAATATTGATCAATATGGTTACAGATAATTTAGATTGGAATATAAAATGATATAAAATATTTCATACCTTTTGTTAATGTCCATTCTACAGCATTTAATGTAGCTTTCTCTAGAGGATCACCCACTAATTCATCATCTAAATGTACTAAAGAATGACATGATGCCATAACCTGTGCTGTAGTAATAGGTACTTCTGTAGCATGTACTATCTCTTCACCACTATAATATATATAGTAATATTCTAGTCAAACTAATACAATCAATTCTCAAACATTCTTATTGTAAGGAGGCTGATTTTATTATATTAAATATTCTATAAAACATTCAAATTTTGTGTTTAACTCATTGTATTTGTTATTGTTTTTTTTTTTTACCAAATTCCATTATTTTGGCATAACGATAGCAACTCTTCTCATTTACATAAATATGGAACAAAAATAAATGTACAAGCCACCACAACTAATGTTCAATGATCCTTCAATACTTACTTTAGACCAGTTACACCTTCAACAACTAAACTATCACTAGTTAATGTTCCTGTCTTATCAAAACAACATACATCAACTTTCCCAGCGAATGGTATACGGAATGGTTCAGTACAATATACATCTATAATACAATAATAAAACAAATTAGGACAGAAGAAAAAATAACAAATTCACTATGATCCTCTCTACCAGCTGGTCCTTGAATTTCAGAATTATCAATATCCATTTACAACTGGGTCAGATATGAGCAAAAATCACCAGAGTGAGATTAAAACCCCCCAACCACCATTTGCAATGAGCTCCAAGGAAAAAATATAACAAAATAATGAAGAGATCTGAGTCAATATGAAGTAAACAGAATCATACTTACATAATTTAGTAAGAGCTAATAATGACGTATTGACTGCTAATGATAACTCTATAGGTAGTTCAGGAGGAACAACTGATGTTAAAATTAAGGTACATTCTAAAAATAACTTATATCTATTACGATTTGGATCTTCAGTACCTGAAATAAATAATACAATGTGTACAACTTCCTATAAAACAGTACGTTATCCATTTAAACAACAATTATGTGAGGATTTATATATAGTGAAATACAATAAATATTTTGAACTGTCCTCTTTTAACATTTCAGAATTATGAATTATTCAGGAATTCTTTCAGTTAATTTCTTGAATCTAAAATCAATAAAATGGCAAAAATTAAGGATACCAGTTGACTAAATATCACACAGCATGAATAAAATGTACTGCAGATTTTAACTTAGTACGGAACCTAAATAATAGCTCACCTTTAATCCAGACATAAGATGCAGCAATGATTGCGAATATTAACAGAAATAATATAAAGAAGAAGGTCTCTAAACTATTAGCAGTCATTCTCTTTACACCAAATAATATAGTTTTCAATAGTTTTCCTTGTGAAGTGTTGAAACTATGTCTTAAAACATATGCTATACAACCATTATCAGTAGCTGAAAGATAATAAAAGATACACTGCTATAAGAATTTTAAACTCATTCTATATCTCTTCAAATTGGGAATGAAAAATGTAGTGTATTGGCACAATGAAGTAACAATCAAAAAAGTTACATTTGTCTTCAATGGACTTAATTGTCAAAAGAAGTACTTCAAATGAAATGCCATAAACTTTGAAGGAGATCTTGACTAGACCTTATCCAAATAATTATGTATCATGTTTAAGTAAAATGAAAACTACATTCTCTATTGCCGCTAAAACAAATGTTGTAAACAGGGCATAAAAATAATGAATCACCTTTTAATCCAGCGCCTGTTTTACTAGGTGGTGTATGTTGTACAACTTTGGTACCACCAAATAACATATGTAATTTACCATCAATTTCTGTATCTAATATATGATCATTATCTAGGTTTTCTACTGCTTCCTGAGTAATATAATAATATACATTAACTTCAAATTCAACTAGGCTGCCATATCATAATGGAATATAACTAATGTTTAAATCAATAATAATTCAGTCAATATTGGTTTATAGTTAAAATTAAAATTGACATTCGACACAATATAGTTAATTTTTAATTACCTAGATCATTTAGGGTTGAAATTGAAAGCCATTCTCTGAATGCAAAGCTGTCAGTGTATAATATTGCCTTGTGTTTGTGAAATGTCTTTTGGGATCAATAAGACATTCGCCGAAGTCTCAATCTACCTTCTTTGATATATAGCAATTATGACTATCCTATAAAGTAAGGGTATATATTCATCAAAGGTAAATTTATGACTGACCTTCATGACTGGTACTGATTCTCCAGTTAACATAGATTCATCTACAATACAGGGTCCTCTTAATAATAATAAATCACATGGTACTATCCTATCATCTTGACATCGAACTACAAAATAAAATCTTTTGTCAATGAACCATACCTTTCACCTCAAAGCTATACAGCTGATATTGGTAGAAAATATTTAACATGATCACCAAGAAAGTATTATTTTTCAAATTTATGATAAATAATCATTTTATAGCGTAATGCTTACTTATTTCATTGCTGTTAGTGTTAAACATACATGGATACAAGTCATGAGGACCAACTGAGTGAGGCATTTGGAGACAAAGTAATTTTCATTTTCAAAGAGTAAACATGACATTGAGATAAGTTACTAATTCAGTGTATTATATCATTGTATTATATTCCTACCTATTGATACTATATCTCCTGGTACCAATTCATCAGTCATTATTTTTATCCATCTTTTATTTCTATACACCTAGAAATAACATTAATATATCATAAAAAATCATTTATCAAATTTACATGTGATATTGGGTCTGAAACACGACATTTACTCACCAATAAAGAATGAGTGACTTGAATGTATTTTAGATAACTTCCTAATTTTACCCAACAGTGTCTAGGATCGCCAAAATTATATTCATGTAATGTCTGGAAAACCACCAGAAGTAGACCTTGAAAATTCAAGGTGAAATTACAAATATACCTGAATTAAATATGGTTTTATTCCCATTTTCCGTATTTCTGCCATATTACGTAGTTGTTGTTGTACAAGTGTGGCTTCAAAAGCAATTAACATGAACAATGTAAAAACACTGTAATACCAATATTCATCTAAACACCATAAACCAACACAAAATACTTGGAATACAAAGAATGGTGCTGTGGCTCTTTCTCGGAATAGTTCCATAAACTGAGGTATATCCATTATCATTCTGAAAATAATACATTTTCAACAAAAAAAATCACATATTCCCCAAAACCATTCATAAAGAAAGAAATAAACAACCATGTTTACAAGGATAAGAATTAAGGTTCACAAGGGCCCTATCTACCCCTTGGAATTGATCTTTAGTTAATCTAATTTGCTGTTAAAATAATGAGAAAAGATTCATTCAATTTCACTAAATTCATGATCACTAGTTGGACGACGTAACCTAGCAAATGAGGTTATGTATAGGTTTCATCGTCCTTACTGTCAAGTTACTGATTATGCTGTGGTCTGTCCTAAATTTCATAATATGAACACAACTGTTTTCACGCATTTTAACATTTGCTTTTGAGTTACTAACTGGTCTTAGGCACTGCATATTATTTCTACTGAAAAACTTCCCAATACTAATCAATTCAGTAGTAGAAATAAAATCTGCAAGATAAAGAATATAGTATTAGAACTAAGACTTTCACTTACGAATTTTTGCCATATTTTAGTTCTACTTCTTTCAAGGATTTATCATCTGGATAACCCTTCCAGTCCATGTAGTGTTGTATTGATTCATTTATTGGAAAGGATACTTGTAAAAATTGTTTTTTCTCATCTTTATCATAAATATATTTTGTTTTTTGGAAATAAAACCATAATTCTTCTCCATGATCAGACTGAAATAAAGTAAGTGGGGTAATTAAAAAAAAAAATAGTTGAGATTTATATTTAACAATTATTATGTTCTGAAAAAGCTGAGTAACAGTCTAACAAAGAATAATCTATGAGATTCTGTGTTGTAATTAACAGGTTATAGTCACCTACCCACCAACCCAAGATGCTTAAGTCAAAACTTTGGGGCCATTATGGTTAGGTGCCCTAATTGACTGAAGGTATGATCCCATTTGGTTGAGATAGTTATTGTACCTGGTACTCATTCACTGGATTTTCAACTCAGCATCCCTATGTCACTGAGTCAGATAAAAACATATAAAAAATGTATCTTATCATTCTAGTGCAACAAATATCAATGTGCAACTGCTTCAAGTTGTGTAATAACTTTTAAGTTTTAAAATTTGTGAATACAGTATACAGATTAAGCTTATAAATTCTGCATTTTCTTGTGCACGTTACCTGATCATGGAATAATTTAATAATTTCTGTAAAACCATTATTTGGTGTTGGTACAACTTTTACCCAGCCAGCTTTATATGGATCATTAACCTGAAAAATAACATATAATATAATAAGCTATCATTGGAGACACATTTATCAGAATTTCAAAGAAAAAGTTGTGGTGTGGTGACAATAGGTGGAGAGGTGATGTGTAGTGGTTTCCACCCTTTTTAGTTTCCTCGAAAGTGGTTCCCATCCCTATTTTAAGTTTATTGAAATACAAGATTGGACATACAAGCCTTTATCTTTATCTATATAATTCAATTATAAGGGGAGTAAATACAATTTAATGCCCAAGGGTCTGGATGAGCTTCTCCATCACATTGTCAAATCCTGATTGATTGGATAGGTAGAAATCCATATGGTTGGGTAAATAATATATTATATCCTCTAGCCTAGTGCACAAAAATCATTAGCACCACCTGTAGCAGACATTCTAAAAAATCATCAATCCTCATAGCAATATCCAATTATTCATATGAAAAGGTACCTTTGAGCATGTTAATGCACACCGGACATCCACAGACCACAGACAAAACAGTGATGTCAACACTTGCAGTAAAGCAACAATAGCAAACGCTATGAGACCTCCCTCAAAATAGTCGTTTATTCCATACACAAATGTCCAGGCATAGAGCCAAGCGGAATATATCAAAATGAAAGGAGCAACATATCCGTGGAACACGACTGGTCGAATATTATAATAGCATAATCGCTGGATCTCTTCGTTCACGGGGGCTGCCATTTTTATTACCGGTATGTCAGCAGCAAATAATTTAAAAGATTTTAATTTGACATAATACAGGTCATTGAAATAGATCACTCATTTTGCCTTTATAAATTTGGCTTTAAAAATTTGGTTAAGATAGTGAAACTTTTATCCAAAATAATAAATAACAAAGCGCGTTAAGTCATTCGTTTCTTTCCGATCATCATTGCCATCGATGCAAGGGAGATAACCATACACAAATTTGACCACAGTTAATGATTAGGATATACGGCTCTGCTTCAGACTATTTGGTTAATGGGATTTATTCAAGCTAGATTTAGATGTTTCACCTAGGTTACCTCGAAAATAGGGGCTTTCGACTTTTGTCTGTGTGTTTGTTTGTTTTTTGAAACGTACCTAATTTTACGTTATTGTAATTCCAGTAACAGTATATTATACTATTAATATAAAGAAATGTGTATCCTATAGAATTTTCCAGGAAAATTCAAACCGACCATTGATTCAATACGCATATTATATAATGGAGCCACATTAAGGGCTATGAATGGGAAGCATTAATGCAGATGAAGGATAGTGTAGGCCTGTGGTTTGATCAGATTCAATATCATTCTGAATATAACAAAAGAATTTCTCGCAACGCTTAGGGTACTTAATTATCGTGTCCAACAACGGCAATTTATTTAATGGACAGCTCTGCCGACAGGGCAGGGAAATATGGAGATAGCCTACTTATGGCAAATTTCACTTATGTTCCACTAGTTTGAGTCGCGCAACTATTTTATGCCTTGCACACTTTTCACCTCACCCGACTGTTTTTCCGAGTATTATATACCCAAAACATGATTGAGGAAAGTTTGGCAATCGTGAAATGTTATAATATATTTTCTTTGTTGACAGGACTGTATTTTTGTTAACTGATTATGTCTAAATCTTATTTGAAAAGTCAATTATTGAAGAAAAAAATTGAAAACGAAAATCATCCGCAGTGTCAGACGATACGTCTCCATTATGAGAAAAATCTAAATATTTCATTTAGTCTGTTATGATAAAGAAATCTAAAAACTATCAGGTTGAACTGAAATCAATCATAACAGCACTGCTTTCACATTCATTGTACGATGGCTTGTATTACAGAAAGTGTTAAATTATTGAGTCTCTTGTGATCTTTCAATCTGAAACTGGTGTTTATTTCAATAGCTATGATGTAAAATATAACACCAAATTGGCCCCACCATGACCGTCATATTTCATATTAGAATTAAAGTCATGAAACTTAATTAGCAATTATCAAGTGTATGGAATGATCGCTCTTTCGGGAAGACGTACCAGAATTTTGCACTAGTGAAGATAACGCCTTTCGATTGTCGTCAAGGGACAAAGTGTTCATGGTTTGCCTATTGACCACAGTAATAAATATTATAATTATTTGTTTATAGGTAGGCTGGTACAACGACAGTAGTCTCTTGGGACTTTGGTTTCTAACCTTGCATTGTTTGTTAAATTAATAAAAGACCCCTAGAATGATTAGCGGTCCATTTATGATAAGTTTCCCCTAAGGTAGACTTGATTTACAAATCTGAATCAATCGTTGTGGGATTCTATGAGAGTTTAGTGGTTTCGTTCGGTGATAAATCTTACTAACAGTCTTAATTAACGTTAAATGGAGCTGTTTTAGTTGTCAGATTTGATGAAATCATTTGAGTACTTCACAAACATGGTTTCAAGATAAAATATAAGAATGGTCTTGGTATTTTAGAATCTGTCTACTTGATATCAGATCAGGTTTACCCGCAATACTATTTTTATTATGTATACATTAAAACCTCTTAAGATGCTGTAAACAAGTCTGTGGTGCTCTTATCTTTATTATGTTCTTAAATTTACTGTCAACGTTTTGAAATTTAATGTCAATGTTCTGAAATCTACTGTCAATATTCAGATATTTACAGTCGACGTTTTGAAAATTTACTGTCAACGTTCTAATATCTAGAGTCAATGATTTGGTAATTACACTACTGTGGACGTTCTGAAATTCGCTGTCGACGTAATGGTATTTACTTCAATGTTATGGTATTCACTGTTAACGTTATAATATTTGCTGTCAATGTTCAGGTATTTACAGTTGACGTTCTGAATTTCATTGTCGATGTTCTGAAATTTAAAATCGACGGTCTGAAATTTACTGTAACGTTCTGAAATTTACTGTCAATGTTCTGAAATAGTCTGTCGATGTTCTGAAATTTAAAGTCGACGGTCTGAAATTTACTGTCAATGTTCTGGCATTTACTTCAATGTCCTGGTATTCACTGTCAATGTTCTGAAATTTAAAGTGAATGTTCTGAAATTTACTGCCAATGTTCTGAAGTTCACTGTCAATGTTCTGGTATTTACTGTTCTCCTTCTGAATTTCACTGTCGATGTTCTGAAATTTAAAGTCGACGTTCTGAAATTTACTGCCAATGTTCTGAAATTCACTGTCAATGTTCTGGTATTTACTGTTCTCGTTCTGAATTTCACTGTCGATGTTCTGAAATTTAAAGTCGACGTTCTGAAATTTACTGTCAATGTTCCATGGTATTTACTTCAATGTTCTGGTATTCACTGTCCACGATATACTTACTGTCAATTCTCTGGTATTTACTGTCAATGTTTTGGTGATTACAGTGGACGTTCTGAAATTCACTGTCAATGTTCTAGTATTTACTGTTCTCGTTCTGAATTTCACTGTCGATGTTCTGAAATTTAAAGTCGACGTTCTGAAATTTACTGTCAATGTTCCATGGTATTTACTTCAATGTTCTGGTATTCACTGTCCACGATATACTTCTGTCAATTCTCTGGTATTTACTGTCAATGTTTTGGTGATTACAGTGGACGTTCTGAAATTCACTATCAATGTTCTAGTATTTACTGTTGCCGTTCTGAATTTCACTGTCGATGTTTTGAAATTTAAAGTCTAGTGTATAGGCCTATCTGTTATAATGATATAAATTAGTTTGTTTATATTTTTCGTCAAAAAACATCAACAATAATAAGACTAAAAATTAAAAAAAAATAAACAAAATAAAAATATGGATGCAAAAACTTTATTTCGTGGAAGTTTTCGACGAATAGAATTTTTTGAAAGAAATTGATTTAGTTACTTCACCTATTCCAACTATTATTACTGATACGATAAAATCCAAATTTGGTAGCAATTTCACGAAATCCAGTTCAAGTCATCTGAAACTCATCAAAACTCACTTAAACCACATGTATATTAACCAATAAAAATGTTTAAATGTGTTTGTGATTTTATTATTTTTAAATGTATTCCATAATATTATCTCCCTTGGGCCTTATACAATTTCTTATTGCTGTGCCTCTCTTTTTGACTAGTCCCATATACTTCTATATTTGTCGAGTTCCTTGCATAATTCCGCTAGAAATCATTGAAATCTATTTCCATTTGGAATGATCCAGGATGGCTTTTGGACTTTGTCTGATAATAGGAGAATGGTTTCGACACTATTCCTTGTTCTGAATTAATCACGTTCCCGTTGACACCTTCCCCGTTTTGATTGAAATGGAGATTCTCTCTTTTCTGTTAAATTCCATCACCTCTGAAGACCTCCACTATGTGTTATTTCCAACAACTTTGAAGCTCATGCATTTTAATTGAATTTGAATTAATAGTAAAGTAGGGAATAATGAAGTGTAGGATCTAATTGTCATTAGAGGTTAATGAAGGCAATAAAATACGTAATTGAATAATGATAGATTCGTATAAGTTAATCTATCGACTATTGTCCCTGGTATAACTCATTAATTATTTAAAATCATGTTTAAAATAGATGCCCAACTCTCTTGAGTAAACTTGTACGTGATTTTTTAATCAGCAATTTGTTGTGAGATATCATTCAGATGTCAATCAGAGCTTAGCTATTTATTGTGGGACACTCCTAGAATATATCGTCGATGCTTAAAACTGTTTTGTCAGTCTGTAATATTAAAGTGGAGGTAATTCTGGTTTACTTCCTGCAAGGTCTGCACTATAACTCTTATACAAAATATAACAGGAAGACACGATTAAGAAGAGATAGGTTTGACTCAAATGCTGTGATTTCTTTTATTAACGTCAATTTTAATCGATCTTAATCCATATATCTCTTTCCCAGCCGAAAAAAAAAACCCCAAAACACCCAATGAGTATAAGAAACCATTTATGGAATAAAACTGATGGAAATATTTTATCTAATATGTCTTGGAGTTATATTCCAGCCAAGACAGATGCCTTGAGATTTGTCCAAAAAAATTTCGAGACAAAAATACATGGATTATTCATCAGTTTCTTTGGTTTCTTTTACATTTCATTTACCTTTTTTTTAGCTTGTAATAATCCGCTTGATTACATTATGTTATTGAAATACATCTAGTAGATTTCCTTTCAAAATATTATCTTGAAATTAAGCTACTTTATCAAGGCCTAGTTTTCGAATGAATTAAATTCAACATAATGTAACTAATTCTCTCAATTGTGTTTACATTTGAATATATGCTGAAATTACTATACTATTTTACTTGATCAAAGGGCTGGTTTTGGAATTATTTGGGACGCCCCTATAACATATAAGGTAGATAGTTCTTTCATTTATTTTATATTTGAATATACATTCTGAACATCGATCTACTGGATCAAGGGCCTGTTTGTGCAATAGACTGAAACACATCAAATATATCAGCATATTAGGGGAAATACTTACTGCACTTACGAGTGTACTGAAACGCCCTTGCTAAATCAATAATTGGCAGATAGTACTCCCAATTTTGTTAGGCCTATATTTGAAAAACCATTCTGAAAACAGAGTTACTGTCAAAGGCCGGACTGTCGAATTAATAAATCATGAAATGGATAGGCCTATAAGATAATAATTCTTAAATTAATATATCTTTAAAAATTTCGAGCAATAAATATTTTGAACAGGAAATCGCGATTTGTAATCTCATTTTAAAGACAGATTGACGGATTGAAAATA